AAAAAGGTCAGTTTTCTTCACTTACACTTTTTCCCCTTACCCAACACCATCATAGTTTCCCTATGAATTTCTAAACCTCTTCAAAGCTCACCTCCTCCTTCAATTTCCTACCAACGCTCAAATCTTTTCACACCATCATCTGTCGAGTCAGACACCTGTCCCGTGGGTCCCACGACCCTTGTCCTAACCTGCCACGACCAAAACAACTCGACATGTTTGATTTTCGCCAAAGTACGCAAAATTCTCGTTTTTTATTCTACGGTTCCCCTGAGTCGAGCCTTCAGCGGGAATTTGGTCCGTAATCGGGCTTGAGTAACATTGCCTGGAAATCACGGCCCGGAAAACTACAAATGCTAGCCCCGTGCTTAGATGAGTCTGGCTAATGCTACGAGTTTGAATCATGTTAGTTAACATAGACAGGGTTTCAAGATTAAGTGGGAGATTGATGGCAATAATCTTTCATTCATTCTTTAGTTTTAGATTTTTTCTAAAAAAAATGATTCATGCTGATATGAAATACAAGGATGCAGCTTTCAGCTTTCTTGGGCCTGATATGGCCCAAAGTGATGGAAGTAAACTGATTAGTGGGCCTTGCTCAGATAACAAATAATCTATTTTTGGATCATTATAGCTTGGACCACAGCAGGATGAACCCCCATTTGTATTGAGGATTTGGTGTTATGGAGTTTGGACAGAAGCCAACACATGTATTTAATGTTGTTGAAATTTTCTATCAAATAATTTGCTCGCGACCTATTAGGGAAATTTCTCTTGGTTGTGACAGTTCCGTTTGTCTTCATTACCATTGTGCAGATGTCTTGTTTTCACACTGTGAATGGTCCATTAGATCTTGAAAATCGGTCCCGAGTCATCTCTTCATATTGTATAAGATTTTCTCCAATCCCTTGCTGAAAGTGAAATGTGCAAGTGACATTTCACCTATGCATTTGGCCCATTAAGAGGCATTTTTAATAGGGAGAAAACTTAGTTTAGTAGAGGTCCTTCAAATTTCTGAGCCTCATTCAGTGAATAAGATGTTGTTTTTAATTTTTATGTAGGAGTATATATGATTGATATAGGTATACGTACCATCTGTCATCTTCAAATTTGGAAAATGTGACATTGCGGAACATTACCAATAATTTTACGCGGTTATGTGATTATGCACCAAAAATATGCATCTAGCTTGAGGTTTTGTGATTGTCTTCAAAAGGAAAATAAATAATTCACGATATGGTAGCAAAATACATTTTAGTTTTGCAAATCAAGTCATTCCTAGTGGCACTTGTGTGAATTAACTCTTCATATTTTTTTTTTGACAAAAGAGTATACTTTACTTGAGAAAGACTACAGTCCAGTGAACGAAATCATTCTATCAGTGTTTTCAAGATCATCTACACTACACTAATTTACATATATTGCTATGTTTGGTAGCCAAATAAACTAGCTTATAGGTTATTTGGTTAGCTTATAAGCTCCATGTATTTAAATAAGTCTCGTTTGGTAGGACGAGCTTATCTCATAAGCTTCTTTAGGTAGCTTTTGAAATAAGCTATTTGATTTTTTTTTTTTTTTTTTTTTTTTATTTATTTCAGCTAGCTTATCAGCTAATTTTACCAAACACTTTTATCATATAAGTTAGCTTTTCAGCTATAAATCATAAGCTATAAGCTATAAGTTCGAAAATTACATATAAACTATAAGCTAGCTTATCAGCTAGTTTTACCAAATATAGCTAACGGTTAAAAACTCTCTGGGAATGATTCCGTAACGGGACTGTAATCTTTCTCTACGTTACACTATTAATTGTTATACTTTTACTTATAATGTTTATTTTAGATAAAATTGAAAATCTAGTCTGTAACTGACATCTAACTGAAAAATAGTCCAGTGATTGCGTTAATTTTACAACATCCTGTAACTGCAAAAAAGCTGACGTGGATGTTGTTTTAAATTTTTTTTTCCATACACATGGCAGTCGACTAACATATCAAACTCAACAGGTGATCAAATTGACCGGCTTTTGCCAGGAAAGAACTAAAAGTCAAGTTTTTTTTTTGCAGTTACATAGTATTCTTTTCAAGTATAAGATTAAGTGTGAATGTATGCATGTTTATTAAGAAAATATAATTATTTAACCGTTTGCTTAACATCAATCATATTGTTGAAAAAGCTAAATATCTACTGAAAGTTACATAGGTATGGATATGCTGACTAAAAGTCCATTCCTCAACTCCCATTCTCCTCACTGTCAATCAGAACCTTCCATTCATTTCCACACGTCACTCTACCAATACAATATAAAACAAGATCAAGAAGAAAAATAACTCAATTATATATACCTATACTTTTCCTCTTTCAAATTTCATATAACAAAACAAATAAATCTTCCTCTTCCCTCTAAAAATTCCCAAAAAAAAAAAAATAAATTAAAATGAAATTCGAATTGGGATCAATTTCCCTCCTAAAGCTCACAGTCGTAATCCTATCACTCGCCAAAATCATCTCCCAAAACGAACAGCCTTACCAAACATGCCGCCGCACATTCGAGTGTGGGGACATAACTGAAATAGGGTACCCATTCTGGGGCGGCGACCGGCCCCAATCCTGCGGCTACCCTAGCTTCGGCCTCACCTGCCTCGACAACACCCCGCGCCTCAACATCTCTTCCGCATCCTATCGAGTCCTCGAAATCAACAGCACAACCCGAACGCTGAGAATCGCTCGAGACGATTTGTCGAGCACCTTGTGTCCCAGATTCATCCACCGCACAGTCCTCGATTCATCCCCATTCCACATCTATTCAGTCCACGGCGACCAGAACGTCACCCTTCTCTACGGCTGCGGCGCCAGCCGCCCGCCGCCGGAGGCTCCGCCGGTTCACAACCGGTTCGATTGCGACGTCAACGGATCGAGCACGTGGGGATATTATCTGACGGAAGGGTTGATTCGGCAGTGGAGCAACGTGACGGGCGCGTGCGAGGAGAATATTACGGTGCCGGTGGGCGCGAGCGCGGCGAGGGATCTGGCGAATGTGACGGTTGGATCGGTGGGCGTGTTGCGGGAGGCGCTGGGGGAAGGGTTTTGGGTCGGGTGGCGGGCGGACGACGAGAGGTGCAGGGGTTGTGTCGGGTCGGGCGGGTTGTGCGGGTGCGATCCGGATTCCGGGTCGTTCGCCTGTTATTGCGCGGATGGAACTCGCGATTACAGCTGCAATGTTACGGGTATGTGAAACTTTAATTTGTTCAATTTTGCGCACTCTGATTTTGTTTTCAGAAAAGAAAATGACAAAATTAAACAGAAAAGATATTTTGAGCTAGTTTCTAATAAAGTTGCACAAATGATGACGTTTTCTTGGGTGGATCCATGGAAATTCTAAAATAAACAATAAAATTTAGTACAATGCTATATTTTATTTGTATATTTCTAAAATGTAATATTTTAATACGAAAATATTTATATATATTGATATTATGCGTAATGCATGACTAAATCATATTTTAAAAGTTGTATTACTTTTATGGTTCGTTGGATGCTTTCTAACGGAGATAGAATGCGCTCGATCCAGNTCAATTCGTGTGATTTATATAAGTATTAACTATTAAAACGTAGATTTAATAAGTCGAGGACCATGCAAATCTAATGTTTAGTATATATTGTATTTGTAAATATCATTTGTTCGAGATAATTTTACTTAAACGTTGTTAAAAGTGTGGCGTACAAATAATATTGCTATATAAATTTATGCCAGGAAAAAGACTTGTTTTATGTAAAGTTTACTTAACTTTTGATTTAAATACTGATTTTTGTCTTAATCAATTTTGGTACTCTAATTCATATATTAATATTAATCACAGTGAGTTATGTTATGTGAGTTATGGTGCAATTAACTATAAAATATAATTAGTTTTAATTGATCGGATAATTTTTTTTATACTCTCTAACTCAAATATAATTCAAATCAACTTTATTCAATATTATCAATATAATTAATAATATCAATTAATCATCTATTCACATCACATCAACTTTAATTTATTGTTTATCTACTAACGTACTTTTAACTACCTATTATTTCATTCCAATAACTTCTCTTTCAATTTTACATCACATCAATTTTAATTAATACATTTTAAATATTATTATAATACAAATTGAAAATCCCACTCAGTCATTCATTTAATCAACTTTATTTAAAATCAACTCATTTAATCATATATCCAACCGCGCTTTGAAAAGATAATTATGAATTATCTATTTCGGTGACTTTTAAAAACAATATATTATTAGAAAGAAAATTTTGGTTAAGCCAACCACAAATCTTGATCATGGATAGAACAGTTAGGGGATGCTTGGATATATTTTTTTTTTTATTTGATTGGATTTTTTGATTTAGTTTGGTAAATTTTGAAAAAGGTTGTATGATTAGTTGTAGTGTGTATATTAAATAATATTTAAAATAAAATAATGAAAGTTGATTTGATGTAAAAGTAGGAGAATGATGATTTGAAATGATGATTAGTTAGAATTATGTGTGTGGATAAATAGTGAATAAATTTGATGTCTCGTGTAAGAATGATTGGTTGATATTATTTACTTATATTGATAATATTGGGAATAATAAAATTGAGTTAAATTTAAATTTTAATTATTATTTTTTTTTTTTGGTTGAGTTGATAAACAATCAACCCTAAGTACATGCGGTATGAATTTGGTTGGTCTATGGCCTACTTTTTAAAATAATAAAATAATATATTGTATAATAAAATAAAACTCGTACAGAGTTTGGACACACTTTCTTTTGCAATTACACAATTTATTTAGGGGAGACAACAAATACACAATTACATTGCTACAAACAAATAAAATAAAACCACCAAAAAAAAGTGATAATAATAAATAATACAACTGCAAATCTATCATTATATAAAAAGAATAACCATTTTTTAAAAATAGTAAGTCAAATTCTTAGTCAACATATTTTGCATTAATTACTTGCCATTAATGGTAATAAATATTTTTTTAAAGCTTTCCCGTGCAATTAATGCTTTCCTAGATTTTTGGGATGTTGTTATTTTATAATTGACCAATGCACTGATTTTGCGTTAGAAAATCTTATCCCATTAAAAAATCTTATCCTATTAAATCTTCTTAATATAACACTTATTTTATATTAAGAAATAATAATACCAATCCTTTTATAAATTAAATGTCAACACTTATTTAATAATAAGAAAAAAATCGGCCTCTCCAAAACTATTTTATTTGAAATCACGAAGATCTTGCTCAATCAATTCTCCAAAATATAAATTCGAATTATTGTCTAATAAATTTTTTTAGGGTATCTACTATATAAAAAAAGCAATTCTCCAAAATATAAGTCCGAGTTATTGTCTAATAAAATTTTTTTAGGATATCTATTGTCTGATTATTTTTTTTATGGTATTTGTAATTACTAATATTTTTGCTTAAAATTATTAATGTTTGTTAGGCCAACGGTTTTTTAGACTATAATATATAATAGTGGATATAACTCTAAATATATTTTTATATATAATATTATATATAATTTAAACATGTTGTTTGAGCAATTTTTTTACACATTCGTTAAAGTGTATATATATAGAGAGAGAAATGTTAACTTTAAGTGATTTTAGATATCTTTTTTATAAAACAGTTTAGAAAAAATGAGATAATTTCATATTTTTCAAGAATAATATATAATATTTTAGATACTTTTACACACTTTATATAATAGTTTAGGTATTCTTAGTGTTTTAAAAATATTTAGACAAATTTTTACATATTCTCTAGATTAAAGAATTGTTTTCCTTACAAAATAATTTAGAAAACTTTTAGGTGACTTCACGCATATTTCAAAATAATGTAAAATATTTTGAATACTTTTTAGATATGTGATAAGATTTTGTATTACATAAAAAGAGAATAAGAGTTATAAAGCATGGTAAGTTTAGACATNATGGAAGTTATGTTTAATTATCAATATCATCTCAATGCCTTGCTTTGCTTTTTTTTACTTCGTTTCGCGAGACAATATCTCTTATTAGACTCATAATATTTTATATAATTTTAAACATATTGTTTGACAATTTTGTACACATTCTGTCTATGTATACATGTATACATACACATATACATATACATATGTTAAATATAAATACATGTATACATACACATATACATATACATATGTTAAATATAAATAGTTTTAGACATGTTTTTTTTACAAAATAGTTAAAAAAAAATTTAGATACCTCCACATCTTTCAATAATGATATTTAAAATTTTAGATACTTTTACATATGTTATATAATATTTTAGACATTTTTTATACTTTAAACATTCATTTTTTCAAATTCTTTTATACAAGATAATTATATATTGTTTACAACTCATATATGATAAATTATATTACATATTAAGTTCACATCTTTAATTTATAATTATTAGTTAATATTATTTAACCTCATCTTTAATTTATAATCATTACTAATATTGTTTATCCGTGCATCGCACGGGATATGCACTAGTACCTATGACAAATAAATAAAATATTTTTTCTCTTGTAAGTTGTAAACTTGTAATATACAAACCTACAGACACATAACTCCCAATGGCCAATACACAATCCGGTCCCCTGGACCAAAGTCGAAATGAAAATTGTACATCTAAACCCCCAAAATTCGAAGAGACAAAAGGTGACGGAGAGGTGAGTCAGCTCGGCCGTGTTGTCGTCCCTGCCAGAGAGGGCTATCTCGGCGGGCCCTCTAGGAGGGGCGGCGGCCGCCGGTGAAGGGGTAGGTGATGCGGCCGCAGGATAAGATGAGGTGGCAGTGGGGCTAGGTGGTTGGTGGTCCGCTGAGGAAAAGGCGGCGTGGAGCTCGGAGAGAGAAAGAGGCAGTTTTTGGTTGGAAAGTGCAATATCTTTCCTGTCTAACAATTTCTGAATCCAATTTCGAGCTCTTTGGATTTCATTTCAGATGAGTAGGTCATGGGCTGGGGCCGGCGGCGGCGACTTTCTCCTGCGGGGCTGGTTGGAATGGCTGTTTCGGCAGCCTTTCTCTCTCCTTTCTAGAAACTCGCTCGAGTTTGGACCTACCACGTCCTGCAAATCGACTAAGCCCGGAAAACCCTAATCCTCCCCTGCCTCGATTTTCTCTGCGTCTCTAACGAGAGTTTTTTGTTGAGTCTTGAGTGTATAAAATCGGGTTGGCAATGTGGGTTTGATGCTGTCAAGGGCCGGTTAGTTGGTGTTTGTGGCGACTAGCCTTCCCTGTTTCCTTGCTACTTCCGGCTGGAAATAGCCGATGGGTAATGGACTTACTGAGGTAAATGGTGGGATTTGCATCTGTGATGATTCTTGATAGGAGGTGTTTGTGGGGTTTTATGGTCCCTTTACACTGAAATTTGTTAATTTGATCAATAGTGTGTTATTAATCCATCGAGTTATCCGGGTGAATGAATATTATCTAGCTTTATTTTGCATCGTATTTTTGTTATACTGCAAGAAGTAATGATATGCATTGGTTATTTTTTAGATTTTTTGTGGCACCTATAGGATTTGTTCATAAATCATAGTGTTCTGTTTCGGATTCTCTGTTTTAAACTTCTTTTTAGATGACTGCCTCTTTCTGCACCCTCTCAACTGTACTCTGCTTATGGCAACCACGATATTCAATTTTCATTGTATTTAACCAACAAACAATAATAATTTTGTTGGGTTGATAATTTTTCTTGGATGTGTTTTTCTGAAATCTCACTTGCACCTGCAGGAATCATATTACATTTAGCTTTTTACATTGTTTCCTTTCAAAATGGATGACCTACACATGTATCTATTAGGTCCCTGTAGGCACGTCATTAACTCTCACCACACAATCTGACATTTCTCCATCTCTCTCGCCTGTTTGTTGCAGGAAACAACAATAACTTGAATACAGGATTGCGTATTGGTACGATTCATTATTCCTGTTTGAAAGAAAAAAATAAGTTAGTTCTCCAATCTCCATCAAACACAATTAGCTTGTAGATTGAAAACAATTCTCTTTTTGTGCCCCGTTATCTAGGCCTCCCTATCGGCTGTGCCGTTCTTGCTTGTATTGGAATCGGATGGCTTGTTTTATACTTCAGGCAGAGCAAGAAGCAGCGTGTGGAGCGTCTCGGCTCGCGATCCAACCGAAGCATGAGCAAGGAAATTATCACTCCTTGGAGCAAGCCTCTCTCTAGGCCTCCCTCAACTAATGCCAGTAAAAGCGGGCACTTGTTCAGGACAACTTCAAACTCCAACCTCGGCTGGGGCAGCATGTATTACGGTGTCCAAGTGTTTGATTATGCCGAGCTTGAAGAGGCTACCGACAATTTCGATCCTTCGAGAATCCTGGGAGACGGCGGGTTTGGCACTGTGTATCATGGTAAGATTTTGTTGAGGATTGTGTCAAATCATAAATTTCATAAATGTACCGTACCTTCAGTATTCGACACAGAACCCCCTTAATTAAGATTTTGTTCACATTTTAGAAACTTAGATCCTTAACATTAAATTAATCCCTCTCCTCCTTCACAAAAAGATACTCCAAATTTCCATTTAGATAGAGTATTTTATTTATTTATTTATTTGAGGTCATGGAGACCTTCCACAATGATCCCTCAAATATTTAGGGCGTATTTGTATACAAATATATCATTTCAAAATGAGTTTTTTTGGTTAACCGGATTTAATTTTGAAAAAAATGGTATGGTTAGTTGATAGTGACATTTTGATTTTATATTCAAATAATATTTAAAATAAAATAATTAAAGTTTATTTGATGTAAAAGTAGGAGAGAGATGATGTGAAGTAATAATTATTTAAAATTAAGTGAATGGGTGAATAGTAAATTAAGTTGATGTGATGTGTGATAATGATTGGTTAATATTATTTTATTATATTGATAATATTGAGGATAGTAGAGTTGGGTTAAAGTTGAGTTAGATTTTGAATATGGATTGAGTATGAATTGAGTTTTTTGATATACAAACACACCTTTAAGCTCTCCCTCTCCAACAACAGGAATACTACCAGACGGGCGTGTAGTTGCTGTAAAGAGGCTGTACGAGAACAACTTGAAGCAGGTGGAGCAGTTCATGAATGAAGTGAAGATCCTCACAAACCTCCGCCACAAAAACCTCGTCTCCCTATACGGCTGCACTTCCCGTCGCAGCCGCCAGCTCCTTCTCGTCTACGAGTTCGTCTCCAACGGCACAGTCGCCGACCATCTCCACGGCCGCCTTCGCCGCGCCAACCCATCATCCCATCTTCCCTGGCCCGTCCGTCTCGACATCGCAGTCGAGACAGCTGAGGCCCTCGACTATCTACACAACTCAGACATCATCCACCGTGACGTGAAAACCAACAACATCCTCCTCGACTCCGATTTTCACGTCAAAGTTGCCGACTTTGGCCTCTCCCGTTTATTCCCAACCGACGTGACCCACGTGTCAACAGCCCCACAGGTAGGCTTGTAAACAAATCGATTTTTTTTATTTGATTCGATATTTATGATTCGAATTCGAATACGAATAATATTTTACATTCGAAAGTTAAACGAATTCGAATTCGAATTTGTAGATATTCGATTCGATAAGGATAATTATATAAATTATATAGAGTATAAATTTTGTTTTATATTATATATATATTCCTGATATTTTTATGACATAAAAAGTAAAAACATCCCAAATTAATAATTTGCCCTAAAAAATCTCAAATTGGATAGGAAAAACATAAACAATACTTTTGTAATTATAATTTTTTTAATTATAATATTTTTCGTAAAAAGAATTTCAAATCGAATCTAATATGTGCGAATATTCTAAATGAATCACATACGAATAAAAAAAAAAAAGAGTTCGTCTACGAATCGAATACGAAATCGAATCCTCGAATATTTTAACAAATCTGAATCTAACATCTTAATATTCGCTTTGATTCGATTCGTTTACAACCCTACCCACAGGGCACCCCGGGGTATGTGGACCCTGAATACTACCAGTGCTACCAGCTAACAGAAAAGAGTGACGTGTACAGTTTCGGGGTTGTCCTGGTCGAGCTTTTATCTTCTCTAATGGCGGTCGACACGAACAGGCACCGCCAGGACATAAACCTGGCGAGCATGGCCATTAGCAAGATACAGAACCGGGCTCTGGACGAGCTGGTGGATCCGAGCCTTGGGTTCGGGACGGATGCTGAGGTTAGGAGGGCGGTTACGTCTGTGGCTGAGCTGGCGTTCTGGTGCCTGCAGTGGGAGAGAGATATGAGGCCGTCGATGGGGGATGTGCTGGCGGGCCTTAGGCGGATTCGAGATGGGGGCCATAAGGTAGAGGTCCTGGACTTGAGGTCCGGTGACGATGTGGGCCCACCGCTGAGGGAGAGTATGGAGCCACCATCTCCGGATAGCGGGTCGGGTCAGAATTCTAGTGGGTGAGCTATTATAAATATATATATTCTTTTTTTTTTTTCTTTTTTTCTTTTTTAGTTGTTTGCTCTACTTGTTGATGTATTATTATTGTTATTATTTATTTCATTTTATTTTATTTATTTGTTATGAGGACATGGGTGGGGTGGGGGTCTGGCGCCTGATGGAGATGTTGATAAGATGATATGGGAAATTGGTGTCTGGAAAATAGATTGTACTGAGAGGTAGCTTTAAAGGGAATAATAATGTACATATATATAATAGTATCAGGTTTTGCTGATGAGAATGGATTGTGTATTGTTAATATATAGTACAATATTTTTGCGATTTTGATGCTATTACGTGGTCTTGGTCAAATATATGGAACGATATATGGTCTATTTATTCTTCACCCACGGAATCTGAGAAGAAAATTTGCTTTTTAAAAATAAAATATAATTCTGCCAAAGAAAAAGAAGGACAATATAATACTAAATAGAATTTCGGTGCTTAGCTTGAAAATTTTCGGGTCATAGGCGTGTAGCTGCCTGGTGTTATTGTGGAAAAAGAAAAAAAAAAAAAGAGAGCACGAAAAGAACAAAGTCCAACCTATATGGTCCCTATTTTCAGCCACGTGTAATGATAATGTATTGGAAATTGAGTTTGAACTTTGAAGCCTCAAAAGACCCGCCTACTGACTCAAACAAAAGGGTCGGGTCGGGTCGGGTCGGAGCACCACAAATCCGTATTCCACTTTAACTCCCCCAATTGATTTTTATTTTTCTTTTCCCTCTCTCTTTTTATTCCACTTTAGCATCTCTCACTAACTCCCATACCTTTCTTACAGAACGACGACTAATAAAAGAAAAAATTAAACAGACATTGCCAATTTTCATAGCAATCCCAAATCCCTCTTTTCCCTTTTTCTCCTCCTATTTAACTCAATCCGATCTACCATCTGAAATAACTTTAATAAACAGAGGAAATGGCGACTCTTCAGAAATTTAAGCTGTTGGCCACCCAGTGCGCGGTGGCCGGTAGCCCCACCCGGAGCCCAGCATCAAGCCCCGTGATCCACCTCCGCCGGAGGAAAACTCTCAGGATGCTGCTCGGCCGTGCGGGAGGGGGCGGCGGGAGGAGGCTGCCGCCAGATCGGAGGCGGAGCCTCGACAGGGAGAGATCTCAGGAGAAAGATTCGGAGCTGTCGATCAGCAACAAGCTGAGAGATCTGTTCGTGTCGTCACCGCCGGCGCTGGGGGAAGGAGTTTCAGAGAACGGAAGGGAATGTTTGCTGCCGTCCGGCGGTGATGACGTCCGGCGAGGTGGTGGACGGCTGCTGCGGCCGATTTCGGCGACTTTCCGGCAGCGGTTGTTGAGAAGGGCTTGGCGGCCTGTGCTCGTCGGCATACCTGAATGAATCAACTTTGTTGATGTGCGGAAGGAAAATTGTCGTCCCATTATTATTTTAATTTATTTCCTCTCAAGACTTGTTTATTGGAAAACTTGGTGGTTTTCGTTTATTTTGTCTTTGTGCTGAAGGTTTGGCAAGTTTCTTTCTAAAAACAATTTTGAAGTTCTGCAGTTTTCTCAAATCTTTTGCCTGTCGAAGTTAAATGTATTGGGCATTTTATTTTCAATCAGTTAATATTATTTTTCCGGAAATGAAACTTAATAGTGCCACACTGAGAAAACCAGTTTCAACATAAATGTAGTATAATTTTAGACGGTCAATGATTCGAATTAAAACGAACAAAACTATGATTAATTGATTATAGAATGTCAGCAAAAAAAAATTAATATGTAACTCCTTGTGCATAAAAAAACCTCCTCGTCTGACCGTTCCTCTTAAAAAAAAAACCGTCCCCCTTCGTAACTAAAATTCAGATATGACCGTTGCCTCCTCTTCAGCGTGGCGTGACGTGTCGCCGCGCTGCCATCATCGCCGGATAGTGCTTCCTCTCGGCCGGCCAGCGCTTCGAGGACCTCACGGCCATGGTGGGTTTCGCCATCTTCCTGGTTGCCGCTCGGTCTGTGGTGGTGTCGTCGAGGTGTTGGTTGGGTTGGGGGGGCGGGGAGGACCCCGGCTAGGCATCGGCCGGTTGTTCGGGCTGAGATTAGTTCCTTTTTTTTCCTTGCTTTTCCGTCTCCCATGTGTTGGGGGATGACTCCTGCGGGTTGGGATTTTCAGATTCGGGGTCTGTTAGTTAGATTTGCCGATGGTGGCGATGGTTTCAGGTTTGGAGTTTGGTGCTCGACACCCTTGGCTCTCCGTCGCTCCTGGGGTGGGGCGATGACTCCGTCGGGGATGTTGGTTGGTGGCTCCGGGGTTGTCAGATCTCGACTTTCGGTAGGAGTGGTATGGAGAGTTGGGGCTGGCTTTTGTGTGCTGGACTGTGGGTGGTCAGCCTCTTGGGACTGCGGGTTTGGGGGTTTGGGCATTGTTAGGCCTTTGCTGCAGTTTCAAGCTCAGTGCTCCGAACCGGATCTTAGTCTGTGGGGTGACGGCTCTGGGTGGTTGGTGTTGAATGAGTGACAGATGCCTATAAGAGGGTGGATGCGTCTTAGCTAGATCCATCACGTGGCGGATTGCGGTGTTGCTTGTCAGCTATAGAGGAGGGCTTAATTTTAGCAGCTTTGTGTAGGTTTGCTTTTGTATTCGTGTGGTGTTTGTTGGTGTGTTGTTTTGTGGCTTGTGTTTTGCTTTCTCCTTCTCTGGAGGAACGTGTTTTTCTCCTCTAGGGAGTTTGTGTTATTCTCCTGTGGGGGAGTTCGTGTATTCTCCTGTGGGGAGCTTTTATTTTTCTTGTTTTGTATTGTAGTGTGTGTTGTTGTGGTATCTAGGCTGCCTTGGGTAGTCTCCTATTCTGGCTAGTGAGCCGGTTGTAATAATGTGTTTAGTGAACGAATTCAGTCGTTTAAAAAAAAAACTGGTTTTTGTGCATATGTTCTAAATAAAGTGTTATAAATTTGGTATCGTAAAGACCTCCATCTAGCTGGAAACGGCTAGAAATAGATAGATCTCAAGCTCGATGGTTGAACGCCTTTGGAGCTGTAGAACCCTCACACCGGATGAGTTTTTTGGTGAAGAGCCTCGAAGAAAGCTTAAATTAGCACTTGTAAAAGATGAAGTGCAGTATAAGAGTATGTAGAGAGTGTAATATAATTCAGGGCATATTTTACTTCCTTATATAGGGAGATAATACCTTGTTGCCCAAGCTGAACACGTGAGCTGCCCGGACTTCCCATTCTTACTGTCGTAGCTTGCAGGACTGCCCCAACTGCCCAATTCTGTTATGCCACGTGGTCATCCAAGCAGGGTCTTACTCCCCATTATATTCCTTCATATCCTTTAGTATTCTTCATTAGACAGTGTAACTGTGTGATTGGTCCCGATTACCTCGAGGTGGAGTATCATCGATGTCGAGCTCTGTTGTTACGCCCCTCTGGTTGATCCTTTGACTAGGTATTCTTTCAGGTCGAATTTTCACTAGGCCATCCAGGGGCCCACATTCGACCTACTGGTACCCCTCTCGTTCTTGATGTCTTCTTTGACCTGCGGCTCTTTCGACCTGTGGGGTTTTCCTTATCCGTTCGAGCTGATGACTGACTTGATGCAGTTTGGTCACTTTTTCGGTCTCTCGACCAGGT